AATTTTTGTAAATGTGGACCTCGCATTAAAATTGAACTAACACCATTAATTTTATGATTGAGCACAGATCTAAGATTTCTCGTTTTTGTACCAAAGAACTATTCTGATTCGTACTAGAATCAAAAGAATATTGTATCAAACCAGACAGCCTTTTGTATATAATATGATACGTTTCAGACTTCACCGAGATCAATCCCAAAACCTATCAAACAGAATTGTTTTGAACCGTCCTGAAGAACCAGTTATTTTGTATTCCATATAATATATGGCATATTATGTCCCATTATACAAAATATATATAGACATTAGTTACTGGAGAGTAGTGTTGGTTTAACACACATTCACTTAACCCAACATAACTAATAAGTATATCGAATCTTATGAACTATTATTCAGTTAATTAATTAGGATAAATTTTCTTAGTTGTTCAAATTTGTCCCGCTTTATTATTGGCAATTATAATCTTATAGTTGGTAATAATTAATTATGATGAACATTCTTAATTACTTTTGTTTCATTAATATTTCACTTCAGAAAAATAGAACTTTTAAAATTGAGTGTCACAACATTGATGAGATAATTCCCATATACGTGCCGAACATGTTAACAACAAAAAACAGGAGTATATGTTTAAAATTCTCTAAATAAGAGTCTTTTTTCATGCTTGGGCAAGAATACCCCTACAGGGTTGGGCCAGCCACCACGCCACCGAAACTCCGCCTCCGGTTCCCATCGTCGTCAAAACTCCGCCGCCGGACTAGGGGGCCGAACTACTGCTGGACATCCCACCACCAACAGATTGACCTTGGTTATGCTAAGGAACTAGGAGAGCAATTAATTATATTAGGGGTCGAAAGGTAATGTTTATTCCTATTTAGGGAATATAAAACATAGACTCTTATTTAGGGGAAAAAATAAGTTTTACTCCTGTGTAGGGCAATTACTTAAAAGTGATTTATAGTTTATATGTTATTTTATTATGTAATTTATTGAAGGATTGAGTGGTACTGAAGAATCATCCCGAACTCTACCGGAAGTTGGTGCAGAACGGGACAAATGCTACATATTTAGGACAATACTGATACCTTGATTTCTAAAAGAACGTAATTTGGATGAGACATGTTCTTTGAGAGAACTGTCATGTATCGTCTCATGCTTACACCTTATCATTAGTTAATATTTTGTGATTTTGATATGGTTAAAATTGTAACTTCGGACACGGTAACAAACTATACTCCTTTTGTACATGTTTACAAAATGATATGGAGTAATATTTCTCTCTCCAAAGGGAACTACATTCCAATATAGACATAACTAATAGACAAAAATTGTGATTTCCCCAAAGTTAAATGTGTGATGTAAATGATTGACTTTATACAAAATGTAAGTTATGTGTGTTAATTAAATATATAAATGTGATACATTTTGTGCGTGTAACGCTACTTGTTGATACACAAGTTTTGTATTTGCCTATTTAATTTAATTTTTTTAACACTCCTTCTAACTCAATTTTTTTTGCAAAGTCTACTTTTCTCAATTAACACAATTTTATTTTATTTATTTATTTAGAAAATCAATTTTTTGTTACATTTTTATTTGGAATTTTATGACTTTACAAAGTTTTCAATGTCATTTTGGAATATGTAAATTTGAATTTATAAAACTGATTTACTTATCTACAGAGAAGATTTTCTCTATTGTTAGTCAACAATGGAAACTGCAGATTGTGCATCATTTGGGACAAATGGATTATGAAACTGTGTGATTTTCGAATGGACTGAGCGTGTAAAAGGTGGGTAGATCTCACAGTGCATTTATTTGTAAAACACATGAGACTTTCAAATGCAACTATACTTGGTATACACATTGCGTGTACATGCTTTCTATACTTTGTCTGTATCATAAACATTATTTAATACATAATAAAAAATTACATATACTTTCTGTATTTTCCAGGCAGTTATATATGATATAAACCAATTGTACGCAGAGGCGGCGTTGTATGTTTGAATGCCTAGGGGCGGAAAATTAAAATGGACCTAATGTTACAACATGTTGTAGTACCCTTTTCTATTTAAACTAACATGCATAATAATAATAATATTAAAACAATAATAATAGTAATAGTAATAATAATAATAATAATTCAAGACATTCATAAAAAAATTGTAAAACCCTATTCTGTCTAAACCGATCATATTATAGTATTGATGATCCCTATTAAGGAAAGAAACAACGGTGATCCTATTTGTACACTTTACCAATGTTTAAGTCATATTTAAGAAATTAACTCTATTATTATCACATCCTAAATCCCCCCTTCAATAATGTAATCATTCTGAACCATTTCATTTTCAGTAGTTAAATTATTGTTCTTCTATGAGTTCTCATCTTGAAGAGGACATTTAGAATTTGACTTTTTTACACAAACAAGCTTTTCTATTGAACTTTATTTTACTTGGTGCCACTTTGTCTAATCTTCTCATCTTTTTTATTTATCCTAAGATTCAATCCTTTTTATTACACCTTGAAATCAATAAAATTTATAAATTTTATCATAATTGAAAATGTTTGTCTAACAAAACCACCAAGCTATAACACCAACACTCAATTGAAAACAATCAACAATTAAGAAATTAAACAATCAACTATGAATGAAATAAATTAATAAACTAATCAAAAAATTATATCAGACTAATATGCTTTCGAGTGGAACTTTTTTATCAAATTATAAGAGAATGTTTTTCATCATGTGTAGATTATGTTCATAAAATTTCAGCTTAAAATTCAATCATGAAGTTAGTCAAATAAATTACTGAAAACAATGCTCCAAAATATGTATAAAAAACACGGTGTTTTTCATCAAATGACTTCAAAATTGAACTTTAAACTGTTTTTTTTACATAATTTACACTTCATAGTGAACACAATCCTAAGTTTTCTCAAAAAAAAAAAAAATACATTCCGAAGAACTTCAACAAATTTCACTAAAAAATTTAGTAGTTTAAGGCTGAAAAATAGCCTACTAGCACATACATAGTATTACAAAGAATAAAATTTGGGACTATTTTTTAGGGCTGGGAAAAAACTCTCGACTCCCGATCCCGATCCCGACAATCCGGATCCCGACAATCCCGATCCCGACTAGTCAGGAATTTTTCCCGATCATGACTAAGTCGAGACAAGACCGGGATTTTTTTTTAAAGTCGGGATCGGGAAAATCCCGACATCCCGACATTATATATATATATTATGGATCAAATAAAAATTGCTTCCTAGGTGAAAAATAAGAACTAGTCTTGGCCATTGATGTGAAAAAATAGATGGAAGAGATCAAATTTTAAGTGAAAAACGCGGTGGCATTTTGGTAATTATGAAGGAACGTTTATTAAAAATATTGTGACAAATGTGTATCAGAATATTCAAAAAGTGCAGAGCACAAAAGTGCAATACAGGACAAAATAAAAAGCGCACAAGTTAGAAAATTTTGACAATCTTTTTTGACACGCATGAGTGCACTTTTAATAAGTAACTATCCACTTTATAGTATAAATATTTGCACATTTTTTAAAACCGTCTCTTATGATTAAAGTTCATCTAATCCATCTATTTTCAAGTGATCAAAGGTCAAGATTTGTTCTCACTTTTCATGGGAAGACTACTTTTTACTTGAACCAACCCCTATATATATGTAGATATATATATATATATATATATATATATATATATATATATATATATATATAGACACACACACATGTATATAATTATATATGAATATATAAAAAAATGAATATACATTTATAAAAAATGAATATGTATCTAAATATTTGCATATCTTTTCTAATTACATATTCCCTACATAGATTAATCTTTTACTACGAGTATCTTACAATATCAAACTTCTAAAACTATTCGGCATTTGTCCGAAAATGAATATTCGGGATCCTAACTAAATAGAGATTATTCTTGATCCCGACAATCTAAATTAAAACAATATTACAAATTTTGCGGTTAATTCTGATGAACTCTTTAAAAAATCATGATCGAGACTAAGATTTCTTTCTTTAGTAAATAATCATAATATGTATTTATACATTATATTTATTGGTCACAAGGTTTCTCAATAAGTCTACTTAGTTTTGAATTTTAAATAATATACGTTACACATCCTTCTTTTAGTGATTTTTATATAATGTTTGAAGTAAGTTTTACTAAGCCTTGATAGCTTATTAAAAAATTATACTATTAATTAATTGAAGTTACAAATAAAAATTATTCTAAAAGTAGATACTAGTGTGAATTTGAGATGATAATTATTACAATAAATTTTATAAGTAGATGATGATAAATACGGTATAACAATGAACAAAGAATAATCTTGAAACCACTAAATATCAAAGTTAGTGTTTAACTAAAGAAATTGCATAATTTTATATTTGATACTTCATTGTCGGGATTTAGCGGGATTAAGCGGGATTCCCGACTTAATCGGGATTTTAATGTCGGGATCCCGACTTAATCGGGACGGGATACAAGATCCTCTTGTAGTTTGAATCGGGATCAGGATGAGATCGGGATTTGGGCAATCGGGATCGGGATCATCCCGATTCCACCCCTACTATTTTTTACCCATTTTTTTGGGCTAGGGCGCCCGCCCCCTAGGGCCGCCCAAATAGCATTTTTTGTTTCAAATGAGACCGTAGTCCAAACCCAATATAGGAGTAGAGGTTGATGCCAAGTATAGATCTCCCACTCACACTGTCACACACCTAAACACACTTTTAGAGTGATTCCAATTGACCATTCAAAACGAGCGTCAAAGAGGGTATGCGAGGTCTAATTTGTTTTCCACTTTTTCTTTTGTCCGGTGCGTCCGTAGCTAGGCAGGCCACCGGCCCAGTGCTGCAATAGGCCGACTGGACCAATTGAATCCGTCACACTTCATTATTGGTTTATATTTATATCCTCTGCTAACTTAGCTCCTTCTTCCTGATTCACTCATTCATTCTCACATACATACATATAAAGAGATCGACAATCTCTCCTAACTTTTAGGCATACACACTTATAAATAAAAACTTGGTTGGCACTTCTGCCTGTATTAGTGTGTTGTATATACACAAATACAATAAATGTCGTCTGCGGCGGCGGCACTTCCTAATACAGAAAATGAAGCGAAAACTCTTGAAGATTCCTCGGACTACAAGGGCCGCCCCTCCCTCCGCTCCTCCTCCGGCGGCTGGACCAGTGCCGCCATGATTTTAGGTCTCTTCTTTTTTCTCCTCCTTTTCGATTTCTGCATAACCTCTCACTCTAAAAGAAGTTTTGTTTGTTTGTTTTATTATTTAAAACATTAATATGACTTTGCACTTTTAAATACTACTCTGGGTAGTAGACTAGTAGCTAGTCATGTTTTCTTTCATACAACACCCCAATAATTATATACAGAGTACCATCAATATTAAAATCAAGATTCTTCTATAAACCATTGAAATATGACAAAGTAACAGTGAATCATGTTCCAATATTAAGTTTTCGGTCTCACATTAGTGTTTAGTCATGGTTGATTTTTTCATCATCATTATTTAAATTTTGTATACATCCGGAATCTAGCGACCATTAGAAGTTTAGAACAAAGGGAGAATCCTTGAAATGTGAGTAAAATATTTTGGAATTCCAGCTACAAAACACCGTCAACCTAATAGGAATAGCCCAAAATCTTATATAGTGTTTTATTGTTTTTCGGTGTAAGATAAATAGTTTAACATGCCACTTCAGCCCGAAGCCCCGAACAGGCTGAACAATATCAGGTTGTGTAAATGAGTCCAACTGACCCTCAACAAAATATCCTTAATCATAGGTGCTCAACAAGCGATCAAACAACACCAGGACTACTTATGTTAAGAAGAGTAGCCCAAAATTATACATAGGGTTTTATTGGTTTATACCTTTTCTGTGTGAAACAAATACTTTAACACTTGTAAAGTTCCATAATGACAAACATGCCTAATAATTATTTCTAATTATAAAAATTTCTCAATTAAAATTTGCCCTATCACTCTTCCAAGTTCTTTGTCCCAAACACAATGGAGCATATTCTTTTATATTCTCCTAAATAATTGTTCCACTTAAATTTTGAGATATTTTAAAACAATTATCTCACTTTATATATTTTTTCAAAAATAGTCTACCTAATAGCTACTCCGTATTATAGTACACTTTAATAAGTGTTCACTATTGCTATAATACCAAAAGCTCCTACTTTCAAAACCCCTAGACACATTTTTTGAAAAAATTATATTGGAAATACTCCCTCCGTCCCAGAAAATTCTTCCAACTTTCCTTTTTGGGACGTCCCAGAAAATTCTTCCAACTTCACCTTTTTGATTATTTGTGTGGCTCACATTCATTTCACCTTTTTCTTACACAACTACAACCACACATTTCCACTTTATTCCCACTTTCTTAAACTCCGATCCAAGTCAAACTAGGAAGAATTTTCTGGGACGGAGGGAGTATATTTTATTAATAAAATAAAGAAAAAATTATATGAATAAACAACTAAAATGATTCTTTACACTAACTCCAACCTTACTTTTTTCTTATTATTAGATAATTCGCCGCACGAAATCAAGAGTTACGCATTTAGTGAAAAAGATGTCGATAACGTTGAGTCGGTGATGAGTCCAAAAACAGGATCACTTAAAATATTTTGATTCAACAGGTAAAAAATGGAAATATAATTGTAAGATTCGAATGAGAGTGAATGTTAATAATAGAAATGACACTTAAATTTCACTATGTGGTCCAACTTTGGAGGGTGGTGCAATTTAACATCATGTGGGGAACATTTTAAAACCAAACTCATCCAATAATTTTCTTATGTGATTGTTTGAATTGTTGGTACCTAAAGGGGTTGAAGCATGTGAAAGGATGACGACGTTGGGTATTGCCGTCAACCTCGTGACGTATTTGACGGCGACCATGCACTTAGGAAACGCAAACGCCGCTAACAACGTTACTAACTTTCTTGGGACCTCCTTCATGCTCACTCTCTTAGGTGGCTTCGTGGCTGACACCTTCCTGGGAAGGTTCATTCTAAATCTATCTCTTCCCTTTTTTTGTCTAGCCAAATTCTTTTTCACCCTAATTTTTTTTAATAATAACAGTAAATTAATTATTTCAGGTATTTAACCATCGCCATTTTTACAACTATACAAGCCACGGTGAGTTTGTAAAATCGTTTTTATTTTATTTTATACTACCTCCGTCCCAAAAAGAGATACAAATTTGACTTTTCTTAGTCAAACAGTCTCGTTTTGTTCACTTAATTAGGATGTCAATTTTTAATTATGTTCTAATTTAGAGTTTACAACTTTGAAGAGGTTTTAATGTAGTTTTTGAATATGTAAATTTTAATTATTAAAAATTGAGTTAATTATCCATACGAAGGGTTGACTTTTATTATTGGTTGACCAAAATTTGTTGACTTTGCAAAATAAATTGGGACGGAGGGAGTATATAAAAGCTCTATTCCTGATTATTCTTGATTGTAACCTTTGACATCAAATACTCGGTCTCTTAATTCAAAAATTAACTTTCCATTTTGGGTTTTAAATAATTCTCCAAATACTAGTAAAATATAGATACAGCTCACAAATTGAACTTATTTAGTTCTTATAGAACATGAAAATAATAAAACTTACCTCTTAGGAAGAATTAATCCTATTTTACGAAGTGAAATAATGATCTTGTTTGAGAAAATGGTAACTCATCACAAGGTAATAAATACTCAGTAACTCACAAGGTAATTAATACATCTTGTTACCAATGGTGTGGTTAGACAATTTACATTTGTAGTCTCTTTTTCTTCGTTGCAATGCATTTCTTTCCTTTACCTTCCTTTCTTCTGCTTCTTCTTCTTTATTTTTCTTTTCTTCAATTCTTTTTTCCTTCTCCATCAAAAATACTAAAAACTTAATTGCAATTTTTGTTTTTTATCTTCAACTTAATTCAACTCAATCTACTTTTTTCTTTCTTTATGGATTCATAACAAAAAAATATTTAATCTAAATAAAATATGTATATTGCATTTCATATACACACTATTTTTCTGTAATATTTTTAGATTTATACACTTTGGTAATTTATCTTTTCTTATTCATACACTTTTTTTGATAATATTAAGTAAGTTTTTATCTCTTTTATATACGTATTTTTAGTGGTTATTTAAGACTTTGAGTTTGTTTATTTCGATTTTATATTTGATTAAATATGATATTACATTTTCATATGTGTGAGTTAGGATGTTTTTACTTGGACTGAAATTTGTTGGTCTGGTCTGGTTTGGTCTATTTAAGTCTGGTATTGTCTGATATGGTCTGGTCTGGTAAATGTATGGTCTCTGTGTATTTTATAACTACATAAGTCTGTTGTGGTCTGGTCTGTTTAAGTCTAGTCCGGTCTGACCTGGAACTGAAAACAGTCCACGTAAAAACATCCTTACATTTATACACGTTTCCTGGAGTTACATTTAATAATACATGAAGTTACGTCTTCTTATACGCGATTTACATTTTCATGTGCGTGAGTTACAATTTTTATGCATAGTTGGGGTTCTCCTCACTACACTATCGCGTCGTGCACTCCCATCTTCGCTGCATGCTTCCAACTGATGATTGATGAAGAGACTTAGGTGATGATTGTGGGACACTAATGGCGGCAACGAGGCAGATTGGCTTCGACAATGATGACAAGAACATAATAACGATGATGACGGCTCCAGCTTTGACATCGATCATCGTGATTTTGTTGCCATCATAACTCCTCCTCCTCCTCCTCCTCCCCCCCTCCTCCTCCTCCTCCGCCTCCTCCGCCTCCTCCTCCTCCTCCTCCTCCTCCTACTACTATAACTTGTGCTATGTTAAATCTTGATTGGGGAATAAGAGATTTGGAGCTCCAATATCTTCTTCGTCGATTCCAATAGTGATCTTATTCTTCACATCTATTAGGGTTAGTCAGCGGTTGCAACACTATCTTCTTCCATCGAGAGGACTACGACAAAGATGTCTTAGGGCGACCACACCAACCGTCGCAACATGGCTTGGGGTTACGGTTAGGTGCAGTGGAAGGGGTTCTGATAGGGTATGAGGGAAGGTGGAGGGGTTGGGCCAGGAGTTGGAATTGAGGTCAGGGCGCTGGGCCATTGGCAAGGGGTAGTAGGTCTTGGAGTAGTACGAGTGGTCGAGGGTGAGGGTTGGGGCAAGGGAGAGGGAGCGTTGAGATTTTGGCATAGATTATTGGGGCAGGGACTTGGAGGTGTGGTAGCATTGTGACAATGTCAGTGGTGACGGTGGGATCATAGTGTCGGCGGGAGCAAGGGCACAACGTCGCGGTGTCACTGCACGGAGATGAACCGTAATTGACTGGGGGTGGTCACGATTACTAATGTGGTCACTGTGACCAACATGGTCAATATGGTCAGCGGGATTCACTAGTGGTCAGTGGCCGACGATGGTCACAGACCAGTGGTGATCATTGTGATCAGCGATGATCAATGGCTGATAGTGGTCATTGACGAATTATTGGCCACCGTGACTTCTAGACCTGTTTAATTAGTGTCAATGGATATTAGGAGGAACGATTAAGTAAAACTCATTTAAGATTTTTCAGATTTAGTGCTTATTTAATCCTCTTTTAAAGAATAGGGCTTGGATGTCGTAGTAGTAGTTCTTATTTAGTCCTATTTTTTAAAATTAAAGAATCTTGTTTTATCCACATTTTACGTTCTAGTAATATTTTTCAAAACCCTAAATTGATTTCAATTAAAACACATACTTAATTGTGACAGGACCGAGTACATAATTGCGTATTAGCTTTTTCTTTTGATTATTCGTGTCCACGTGTTTGTTTTTAGTTTTTATCTCTGTTGACTTGCACTTCTTTGATGGACAAATTATATATTCTTTCTTATCTGGGTATCATTTGTTCAATTTGATTGACACTTGTTACTTTTTCTCAGGGTTCCTATCATCATACATAATATTAACCCATGATGTCACAATACAACGGCTCACATATACGCAATCCGTTTGTTTTATCCGCACATTTTTTTAAATATCTAAAGGGTGTGAACAGTATGTGAAAAATTATAGTACTACGTATTTGAAACGTATTAATTGTTCAAATATAGATAAAAATATATGAAAATAGCTAAAAAAAATCTTCTATAATAATTTCAGCTGAAAAATAACATAATTCGGGACACAAAATTAAAAATTATGTACTCGGTATTCAACAAAAAGTTGATTGATAAAATGAACAAGTTGAAAACAGGCTTGCAAAATTGGCTCTTAATATGAAAGGGAAAACTGTCAAATAGGTCCTCGAACTTTCATAAAAAAGTCAATTAAGTCCTTATTTAGGAGGTTCCGTTCGGCCTTCGCGATTTGGGACGGCTCCCGGTGAAATTTTTTGATGAAATTTTTTGAGCATCTTATTCATCAAGTCTAGTTTACTCATACCAAATTTCATCTAAAACTTCAATCGGAAACACATTCAAATTAATTCTTGAAGATAACTGTGCAGTTAAATGAGCAGTTATCTTCAAGAATTAATTTGAATGCGTTCCCGATTGAAGTTTTAGCTCAAATTTGGTATGAGTAAACTAGACTTGATGAATAAGATGCTCAAAAAATTTCACCAAAAAATTCCACCGGTAACCGCCCCAAATCGCGACGGCCGGACAGAGCTTCCTAAATAAGGACTTAATTGACTTCTTTATGAAAGTTCGAGGACCTATTTGACAGTTTTCCCTAATATGAAATGATAAAAGTATGTGTTATTTATGGTATGTAATATTTTTTTGATACAAAAATTTGATAAGATGAAAGGTGGTCTTAATTGGTCTTATGTAAATATTGATGAATAGGGTGTGACCGTTTTGACCATCTCTACCATAATACCAAGCTTAAGGCCTCCAAAGTGTGATCGGGGAAGTCCTTCATGCATTCCGGCGAGCAGCACACAACTCACCGTCCTCTACGCAGCCCTCTACCTCACCGCACTCGGGACCGGCGGCCTGAAGTCCAGCGTGTCCGGCTTCGGGTCCGACCAGTTCGATGAAACCGACAGCAAAGAGCGCGTGCAGATGGTGAAGTTCTTCAGCTGGTTCTTCTTCTTCATCAATGTGGGGTCTCTGGCCGCCGTGACGGTGCTAGTGTACATCCAGGACAGCTTCGGGCGGCGGTGGGGCTACGGCATTTGCGCCGGCGCCATCGTTGTGGCGGTTGTCGTCTTCCTGTCGGGGACGAAACGGTACCGTTTCAAGAAGCTTGTGGGGAGCCCGCTGACGCAGGTCGCTTCGGTTTTGGTGGCGGCGTGGGGGAACAGGCGCTTGGAGCTGCCGTCGGACTCTTCCCTTCTTTTCAACGTTGATGACGTCAACGGCGACCTGAAATGCAAGAATAAGCAAAAATTACCACACAGCAAACAGTTCCGGTTAGTTTGCTTTACTCGATGATTTGCACCACATTAAATTTAATGAATTAGTTTTGTTTATCCTGTGGTTCGATGAATTTGACACTTTAAATGAGCTTATAGGGTTGAAATCATTCCAATTCCAATTTAAGGATATTGGCATTTAAGAATATGTAGATGCTATAATTGATTAATGAGTATATGTACACTAAAAAAAAGTAATATGCGGATGAATGTGAAGGAGTGGAAGTTCATTTATATGGAGTACTTTTGGACTGATCAGTTTTTTTTAGAAGTTTATCTCTCAGTTTTTAAAAAACTACTTTTCGAAGCAATATGGAGCATCCGAAAGTACTTCTTAACTTTCACTCAAACAATCCAAAATTTGTTTATACTCTCTGAAGGAGTAGAAACAATTTTAAAAATTAGATCCAAACATTCCTAAGAGGCTAACTGAGTTCATTGCAATAAATTAAAAAAGCTTGTTTCGATAGAGGTTAATCCATATAAGTATGCCAAAATTACTTAAAGAAATGATCATAAATACAATTAAAACATGATTGTGGTTTGTAATGATGTTTTTAATTGGACTTATTACGGTATAAGATCAAATCAGGCCATACCGCATGATCAAATTAGACTAGACAAGATCAGGCAATTACAAAATACATAGACCAGACATCTATCAGATCAGACCATACTATAAAATTTCAATTCAAATAAAAACATCTTAAATAGGAGTTCATGTTTTATATTCCTTAAATTGAACTAAATATTACATTTGTACCTTAAATATTATTAACGTAAAATTGCTTCAAATAGGACCAAAACATGGTCATGTTCTTTTAACAGGACCAATTATTACATTTCTACCCTTCATATAAATAATAATCTCCTTAAATCCCCAGCGTAATTAGCGTAGTCTGGTGATTGCGGCGGTCCTACAGCGGCGACAGTACGGCAGCAGATCTCCGACCACCGGCGGCAAAATTCTGGCCACGCGGTGGTTCAGTTGCGGCATAACTCCAACCTCTATAAGAATGTTTTTGCCCCCATCATAAATAATATGTCCCATTTAAGGAATTTGAATGTGTTTGACTTCTATTGGTGTGGTATAATTAATTGTCTAAATATGATTTGGTTGGAGGGTATAACCAAAGGCAGAATTTTATTCATGTCCGGAATTCCGGACAGGAACCGCCGTCCGGACGGTGGCGTTTGGCCGCCTTCCCGGTGACATTTTTTGATGAAATTTTTATGACATGTTCTCCATCAATTCTAGTTTATCCACAAAAAAATTCAGCCAAAAACTCAATCCGGAAAGTCGTCAAATGATTTTTGCAAGTTAACTGGTCCGGAAAATACATATTCCGGACGAGTTAACTTGCAAAAATCATTTGACGACCTTCCCGAATGAGTTTTTGGCTGAATTTTTTTGTGGATAAACTAGACTTGATGAAGAACATGTCATAAAAATTTCATCAAAAAATTCCGTCCGGACGGCGGTTCCGGTCAGGAATTCCTGACCGGAAGAGTGCTCACCAAAGGCATTCTTAATTTTACCCTAAGATAGTTACACGTACACAACTTGGAGTCCGAAAAGCCTTCGGCCTGAGATGCAAAGATATCGATCATTTTAGAGTTGAGTGCGGCGTCTACCGTCCATGGAACGTGTCATTTATGGGACAAAAAGATATGCACTACTCGAAATGCAAAATTAGTGTCATTTCTTCCTTTATTTCATTGTTTTGCTGCTGTCCCCTTCCAAAAAGGCAATCATTGTCACCAAGGAATCAAATTTGTGAGGGTATTATAGCTAGGTTACGTGGAGGTTTATATGAAGCGATTTCCTTGAACACCATCATACTGGTTAAGTGGTTAACATTAACTAATGGCATTCCAAATTTCAGAATAAAGTTGCACTTATGGCTATCCACCGAAAGACAATAAAAACACCAAAGTTGTTTCTTATTAGTCAAACAATCTTGTGGATCACATCTCAAAATTGCTCTAAATAGGAGTAAATGTATAAAATTCCAAATAAAATTGTTGTTTCCTCAAATATAAGTAATTACTGCAGAACTTGAATAATCGTTTTTTATCAAACTGTAGGGTAGGGGGTGGGAGGTCGGATGTACGCAATCTTATAAAGTGATTGCGGCTATTAACCCTGCACTTAAACAATCGTTTTTTATCAAACTGTTATTTTTTTTAATCCTTTTTGGTCACTAAAAGTTTGCGGCTATTACAAAGTCACAAAAGTATCTTTTCCACTAGTTATGTCAAACATACTCTTAAATCTACACTAACTAAAAAGAAAATGTAAATTAAACGAGTGAAATACAAACAATTTTTTGTAGGGATTTAAAATAATTTAACATTAACGGTGTCCACAAAATAGAATTCTAATGAATTTCTAAGATGTTTATAGTCTATGGTCTTGAATATCCACTGATACAATCAAATTCTAATTGAATATTAGGAAATATATAAGAATCTAAGGATAAATGATGGGATTTCGGTAAGCATGCATGCAATCTTTTTTAAACTAGCTAAACAACTCACAAGAATTCATACTAATTATCTATTTAAGAGAATCTATAAAAATTATAGAAAAGCGAGGACACATAGAGTTATAGGAGTTTTTTCCCGGAATAATGCTAATTAAATAAATAATTCCCAAAATACTGTTGGGTTAAAAATAATTCCCAAAATACTGCTGGATTAACCGTGGTTAAGGAGAGCCGCCACTTGAAGTGGCGGTTTTTCAGAGGCAGTACAAGAGCCGCCACTTCAAGTGGCGGCTTTTGCAAAGAAAACTCACGTAACTAGGGAAGGCCAAAGACAAACAATAAATGGTGATGGGTCCCACACAAATTTAAAATCTCCTCTTTCCTTTGAAGTGTTGTAACTTTTTTATTTGTACTCTGATTGTTACAAAAAATATACCAAAATTCATAACTTTTTATTATCTTCCATTTGACACCAATATTGAATAAATAAAATTAAAAAAATAACACTTCAAAAATTAGTACGCATCTGTTTTCAAAGTGTTATGCGATAGTATATTTTTTTTATTTGTATTCCGATTATTATAAAAAATATATCAATTTTTTTTCTTTTATAGGAAAGGAATGTTTTATATTGGAAAAAAATAAAGATCTATTAATTTTTTGTAGTTTAGAATCGTTTTTTATCATGCACACTATTAATCAAGAGTAATAGATCAAAATAAAATTACACAAACTCCATCACATTTATTTATTTATTTATTTATTTATCGCACGATAATTTATACTGCTTTATTTCATATGACACCAATATTGAATATATATAAATCTGGAGTTTGTGTATTTTTATTTTGATCTATCACTCTTGATTAATAGTGTGCATGATAAAAAACGATTCTAAACTACAAAAATTAATAGATCTTTAATTTTTTTTCCAATATAAAACATTCATTTCCTATAAAAGAAAAAAATTGATATATTTTTTTATAATAATCGGAATACAAATAAAAAATATATAACACTTTAAAAACAAATGCGTACTAATTTTTGAAGTGTTATTTTTTTTAATTTTATGTATTCAATATTGGTGTCAAATGGAAGATAATAAAAAGTTATGAATTTTGGTATATTTTTTGTAACAATCAGAATACCAACTAAAAAGTTATATCACTTCAAAAAAAAGAGGAGATTTTAAATTTGTGTGGGACCCATCACCATTTATTGTTTGTCTTTGGCCTGGTCTAGTTACGTAAGTTTTCTTTGCAAAAGCCGCCACTTGAAGTGGCGGCTCTTGTACTGCCTCAGAAAAACCGCCACTTCAAGTGGCGGCTCTCCTTAACCACGGTTAATCCAACAGTATTTTGGGAATTATTTTTAACCTAGCAGTATTTTGGGTATTATTTATTTAATTAGCATTATTCCGGGAAAAAACTCGAGTTATAGAGTTTAATGAAATGTACAAAACTTCTAACTTTGAAGTGGTAGAGAATCTTGGAGAAAATACCTCTAATGAGTAAAAGTCATGTTAATTCACAAAACATAATCATACATGATTCTTTCTCAATATATGGGTAGTATGGCTAGACATAAGTAGAATGAAATAAGAAAAAGGAAGCATCCAGTGGTATGATACACACTATTTGATATCAAATTAGGTAAAAAAGATATAAGTCATATTTTGGAAAATACACAATATTTTCGTTATACAAGAGGTAATTTTCTCTAGAACTTTTAGAATTTCGAATCAAAATGTTAAATCCCATAATGAGAAAGGCAAACACTGAAACACATATAACAGCAATCAACAATTATACCCCAGTGCCGCAAAAGCTTCCCACCTAGGATGTGGTAAGATGTCGGATTTATGCAACCTAATCCCTGTACTAAAGCACATGAAAACTGTTTTCGGATTACTCATGATGAAAATCGTGTCTAAAATTGCATGGACTGTCTGATGTTTCATAACAAAGAAGCGCAGACATGCAATCAGAGGCCATGTAGCTATTTTGCTTTATTCCATCATATTCCCAAGCCAAAAAACAGTGAGTCTTTGGCTTCACTGGAAATGATGGAGTGTTTGCGATTGCTTCTACTTTAAAAAAGTGATTTTAGAGAAAATGCTTAATAGTATTAGTAGTGTTTGAGAATTTTTTTTTGAAAAATTAAAAGTGGTTAGTGTTTGATAAAAAGTGATTTTTGTGTGATAGAAAAATTGAAAAACACTTTAAAGCAACTTTCATCCTGCTTTTAAGTGCTTAATTTAAGTAGAAACTCTTATTTGAAAACACTTTGTTTTTAAGCTGAAAAACACTTTGTTTAATCTCTTGCAAATACTCCCGAAAAAGAAAGGCAAACACATGTTTGCATTAAATTTTGCAGTCTGATCAATTTGGCCTCTCATCTGTACTTTGCTCTGCAGGTTCTTAGACAAGGCGGCAATCAGAGGCCATGAAGTTACAGTGGAAAGCAAATGGTCTCTAGCAACGTTAACAGACGTGGAAGAGGTCAAACAACTGATTAGAATGTTGCCCACTTGGGCCACGACCATAATGTTTTGGACTGTCTATGCTCAAATGACAACATTTTCTGTGTCACAAGCCACCACCATGGACCGCCACATCGGAAAATCCTTTGAGATCCCCGCCGCCTCGTTGACCGTCTTCTTCGTCGGGAGCATCCTGTTGACCGTCCCGGTATACGACCGCGTTGTGGTCCCCGTCGCTCGACGCTTCCTAAGGAACCCACAAGGTCTATCCCCATTGCAACGAATCGGCGTTGGTCTAGTGTTCTCAATATTTGCCATGGTAGCCGCGGCATTGACCGAAGTCAAACGGCTAAAGGTTGCCCACTCAAGCGGTATGACCGGTCGCATGAACGCCACGGTACCTAGGAGTGTGTTTTGGCTGGTCCCACAGTTCTTCCTAGTTGGTGCAGGAGAGGCCTTCACTTACATAGGACAGCTTGATTTCTTCCTAAGGGAGTGCCCAAAGGGGATGAAAACAATGAGCACAGGTCTTTTCCTAAGCACAATATCTCTGGGGTTCTTCTTCAGCTCAATCTTGGTTACCATTGTCCATAAGGTGACAGGACACAAAAGGCCATGGCTGGCTAATAACCTCAACCAAGGGAGGCTATATGATTTCTATTGGTTGTTATCACTTCTAAGTGTGATTAACTTGATGCTTTTCTTGTTCTGCTCAAGATGGTATGTGTACAAGGAGGAGAGGCTTGCAAGTGAGGGGATTGAGCTAGAGGAGGCATCAGCAGAAACTGCAGCCTGCCATTAATTTACACATGAATGATGAGAATTGAAGGGAATACAATGTTTTTTTGTTCTCTAACTGCATGTGTATGTTCATAAGAAGCATGTATGTGTTTCAAACCTTTTTAGTGTCTATATTAAAATCCTAAGTTGCATGATGCAACTCTTCTTTAGTTTCTAAGTATTTTAACAATTGATTATGTATATGTGTATGTATATTTTAATATTTATATGTATACAGGTAGCTAGGAAGCCTAGCAAGGCCCTAGTTCACTCAAAATTTGGAAAATAGTTACTGGCATATTTTATGTACTACATATTGGTTTACAAGAATATCAGATCTTTGTATGGAATCACCCTAATATTTTTTCTATAAATGCCACTAGGCAAGTCATTGAGGTGGCAACATGGTAGGATTGTAGGAATGAATGTTGGTGATAGTGATGAAGAAAAAAGGTCCAGATTCATGGCTTATGACTTGGCAGGAACAAGTTCTGAGAAGAAAAACAATCCATTAGGGATGAAGAAATCAACATGAAAATGCAGTCATTAGTTAAGGAGAGTTGGAAATTCATACTTTTGCTAAAAAAGTGTCAAGACATCGGGCGCGGATCCAGAAAAATAAGTTGAAATGGGCTCCAGATTGATTATACTATATTTAAGCATTAGCGAGGTGGACTAAATATTAAAGATGAAAACAATTACACTAAAAATTTCAAACAATATTTAATTTTCTTGTATTTCAGTTCACTATAGCAAAAAAAGGGTGGCAGGTAGGGTAATGGCGGCATCTGATTACTTCAAAGTTCAAACTCATCATATGCATAACACATGGCCGGGTCTGGATGTTTTGATTGAGTTGGCCACCACACCCATGTTCCTAAAAAATCATTTTGCCCAGAATAATGCAAGCTAAGTAAACAGAGAAAAATGAAAGTTGTAATAAAAGATCAAAGACAAAGAAAGAGGGGAGAAGAAGAAAAGGTTGCCTGAAAGATTCGTTCGGGATTGAGCAAAAGCAAGCAGAAGAAAAAAAGGTGAGAGAAATAAACAATTAAAATTTAATCTGCAAATGTTTACGAGTTACTCCGTATCAGTTATCACTATCATGTTTTGTATATGAAAACATTTATTTATTAATGATTAAATGATTTGTACAAAAATAATTCGGACGGTCCAAAATTACAATGTGAAGTGATATAGATTTGAAAAGTTAGAAAGGAACATAAGAATTTGTTACAATGCAGACTCCTTTATGAACATAAAATCATTTCTTATTAAATCTATAATAAAAAGAAAAAATGAATAAAAATAATCTTAACTACTAACGATCTGTTTGAAATAATCCAAGGTATCAATTATCTCAAAATAATTCTAACAATTGATAAATATTCTCAAAATGCTCTCCACTAACTCGTAAATTTGTTAAGTCATTTAAGGGGTTATAAGTGATGGAGTAATTTAAGATTTTTTTTCAATAATTGGAACTATTTTGAGATAACTGATACTTCAGATCATTTAAATATTTCTTTGCAATGACTTACTGCGCGTGGAGCTTAAATTAGTATTAGGTGTGCATTAAGAGTATAACAATAAATGATTATGATTATTAATTAACAAAACAAAAGAACCATCAAGGCACTTAGGAGTTCGAAAAACCCTCTTTCCTATTATAGACAATATTTGTCATTGCTTTTACTTTAAAAAAATGATTTTCTAGTTTTAGAAAATGTATTTAATAGTAAAAGTTAGTAATGTTTGAGAAAAAATGTTTCTAAAGAAGCAAAAATTGATAGTGTTTAGTAAAATACTCCGTAAATGTTTTTTTGTGTAATAATAAGTTGTAAAAAAATGAAAAACAATTTAAACTTTAAAGCACACTTTCACCTGCTTTCAACTTTTCATTTTTAAGTGTTTAATTTATGCAGAAACTGTCGCTTGAAAAATTTGATAGGGTGTTTGATGTATGACTGACAAAAGCTTTTTCTTGATTGAACTTATCCTCTGTTTTTAACAACTTTGTCCTCTTTGAATTTTTTAATGTTAAACTTAAACTTTTGCTGATTATATATTTTAATAGAAAATTATAAGTTTTTTAATGCGAGCCTCGGTTTCATACGTAGTATTTAAAAAAAAATCAAAACGTATAAATATTTCTATATGCACACTCGAAAAAGGGAGGGCGATTACCCCCCTCCAACTCCTTCAAATCTCTGCCACGGCTTCCCATAACAATATTTCCATTTTCGATATAATGGGAGCATGAATTATGAGATGCTGTTTTGTATTTTTAATATATCCTCAGTGTTGAAAAATGAAAACGAGTAGCTGCTTTTGGACTGGGAGGACGGAGTATAAAATTCAAAGAAAATTGCAAACAAAGCATCAATATAAATAGAGAAGGCATCGTGTTAACTGTAGATCATGTTAATTTCTGGTAATAAATATATCTACTCTTCAGTGTTTTTCAAGATTTTGCTATAATGATCTTTTTAGAACTTTACAAGACTAGCAGCCCTGTTTAATTGGCTTGTTTTCTTAGATACATCAGTTGCAGTTTTTTTTTTGGATAGCAAAGCTAATACAAACAATTACCTAAATTAAAGCTCTGCTGAAGCCAAAAAATAAAAAATAAAAAAACTAACACAATTATAGTGGCAAGGGGGTAAGAGATTACAAAACTAGGCCTACAAAACATGGAACAGAAACACAACTCTGTTTGCACAATTACTCGCCATCAGAAACCCTTGTTGAGGTGTGCTTTACATGACTCAAGAGACTTTCATCAATCTGACCAAATATATTTGGGCATTCTTCCCATCTTCTTTTCTCCCGTGCTTCCCAATAGCCACCAACATAACGGAAAGTGCCATCATTTCCATCTCTTTTGAACCATCTTGGCTTCCAACCTGTTTCTTGTAACTTCTTGGACTGGGAAAGAAGAAAGATGTTTCATGACACATGCATATAAGTATAACATTCATGACCAATAATTTGAACATCATGAAACACAACTATTCTCACTCTCACTGTGAAACGTTCTTATATTCATTATGAATCAGAGAAGCAGTGAACACTTTTCAAGATTATGAAACTTATTATACACTTTCATTACGAAAGATTAACAGATTGTGAAACTTGGCAACATGTGGTTTGCATCTCAAAATTTGTACCATGAAGACATACTTTAATGTGTCCATGTTACTCCAAAGTCCAAACCATGTACCATGAAGACATGCTTGCCCCCACCCTGCCCAGCATATGGACACATTAGTGTCCTTCACCCCTCCTCACCATGTCCAATTCACCCTTCACCACAGGCCAACACCATTTATCCTTTACAGCGGGTGCCCTCAGTCCCCGTACCCATTCATATTCGCAATGGGAATAAGTCATGGGATCTATGTGTAATGTGTGTTCTATGAGAGTTAAATGGGACCCACCTTACCTTATTTCTATAAAAAATACTATATATTTATTATAATTTTATTATTTCATTTTCTAAACATAGTTTTGCTGTCATAATAAAAATACACATTCTGTTTCATAACCAACTTAACTATCAATACAATTTTCACAATCAATATTATGGACACCGCACATTGGCTCTGTAGGTCTCAACAAACATGTAGAAAAGTCATCATACAATGTACGAATTCCTTCTAGGTAGAACTAGATCCCCTATCAATAAGAAGTAAGATTTCAGAGTTTTAAAACAATTATTAATATTTCAGTTTAAGACAATTCAGATTTTACTTGGGTGATGACCGTAAAAACAGACATAACTAGGAGTCCATGTTCAATTCTAATTATTCAAGGCAAAACACGATTTAGGAAAAAAGTTGAGTGTCATCTTGAGGAAGGATAAACAGTAAATCATCTACATCTGTTTCTATGCATTTTTTTGAAACTAAAGTTAAGAAAGAATAAAACCTTAAACACCACATCAGTCCAAAAGGGATGTTATTTCTACTTTTCATTTGTTGAAACAAACTCTTCTCTCTTTGCTTACTTTCAGACTGATATTTATATCATTTTCAAATTTGATCCAATGGGTTTAAATAGAACTAGTTGTCAAAGATGCAAAGTTCAAGAAATAATAAACTCCAACATCCATGTTTCAATCCCAAAAGAGTTTGCAGTCGGCTAACATGGATTGACATATGAAATCGCAGTTAGAAAAAGATTAAAAAGAGAACGGGGGAGACAAACTAAAACAGATCAATCCTCCACATGTATACTCTCCCTCCGAGGAAGCGGTCCAGCTCAGCTGGTCGCCGACTCATTCTCCCTTATGGGAGGTCTCGGGTTCGAAACTCAATAGAGTGAGTTTCAGCCCAGTTTACTCCAGCCCCTCCCCCCAGGCCCCCTCCCCCAGACG